CCTCGCCTGGTGTGCAGGAAGTCGTGGGTTCGATCCTGACCCTGACGACGCCTGCTGCTGCTGCTGTATATTTGGAGTTTGCGTGTCTCTCTCTCCCCATGGTCACTGCGTGGATTTTTCTACGGGTCCTCCGAAGTCCCCCCCCCCACCACCTCCACATTTAGAATCAACATCACCACGCGTTCAAAGTTATTCGGCTGCTGCTGTACATTTCTACGCGACGATGATAATGATGATGATGGTAATAAGCCACCAACTTCGTTGAGTAGCTATCATTTGTGATCGTTCCAGGGTGACTTCTGAAAAATTGGCTTCAAAGCAGCTCACTGGGGCCTTAGCTGGCAAAATTTAAGTAAAGAGACCCAGGTGTGACGTGTTAACTGCTGTGCCAGGCTAGGTGCAGGAGGAGATCACGTGACAGACCCAGGTGTGACGTGTTAACTGTTGTGCCAGGCTAGGTGCAGGAGGAGGTCACGGGACAGACCCAGGTGTGACGTGTTAACTGCTGTGCCAGGCTAGGTGCAGGTGGAGGTCACGTGACAGACCCAGGTGTTACGTGTTAACTGCTGTGCCAGGCTAGGTGCAGGTGGAGGTCACGTGACAGACCCAGGTGTTACGTGTTAACTGTTGTGCCAGGCTTGGTGCAGGAGGAGGTCACGTGACAGCCTCAGGTGTTACGTGTTAACTGCTGTGCCAGGCTAGGTGCAGGAGGAGGTCACGGGACAGACCCAGGTGTGACGTGTTAACTGCTGTGCCAGGCTTGGTGCAGGAGGAGGTCACGTGACAGACCCAGGTGTGACGTGTTAACTGCTGTGCCAGGCTAGGTGCAGGTGGAGGTCACGTGACAGACCCAGGTGTTACGTGTTAACTGCTGTGCCAGGCTAGGTGCAGGAGGAGGTCACGTGACAGACCCAGGTGTTACGTGTTAACTGCTGTGCCAGGCTAGGTGCAGGAGGAGGTCACGTGACAGACCCAGGTGTTACGTGTTAACTGCTGTGCCAGGCTAGGTGCAGGAGGAGGTCACGTGACAGACCCAGGTGTGACGTGTTAACTGCTGTGCCAGGCTAGGTGCAGGAGGAGGTCACGTGACAGACCCAGGTGTGACGTGTTAACTGCTGTGCCAGGCTAGGTGCAGGAGGAGATCACGTGACAGACCCAGGTGTGACGTGTTAACTGCTGTGCCAGGCTAGGTGCAGGTGGAGGTCAGGTGACAGACCCAGGTGTGACGTGTTAACTGCTGTGCCAGGCTAGGTGCAGGAGGAGGTCACGGGACAGACCCAGGTGTGACGTGTTAACTGCTGTGCCAGGCTAGGTGCAGGAGGAGGTCACGTGACAGACCCAGGTGTTACGCGTTAACTGCTGTGCCAGGCTAGGTGCAGGAGGAGGTCACGGGATAGACCCAGGTGTTAGGCGTTAACTGCTGTGCCAGGCTAGGTGCAGGAGGAGGTCACGGGATAGACCCAGGTGTTACGTGTTAACTGCTGTGCCAGGCTAGGTGCAGAAGGAGGTCACGTGACAGACCCAGGTGTGACGGGTTGAGTGACCGAGATGACTTGACAGATGCACCAGCTGTGCCCCCCCCCCCCCCCCCCCCGTATATCCTACAGACAGCATACACACAGCATACAGACACAGCATACACACAGCATATAGACACAACATGCAAACACAGCATACACACAGCATACAGACACAGCATACAGACACAGCATGCAGACACAGCATACACACAGCATAGACACAGCATGCAGACACAGCATACACACAGCATAGACACAGCACAGACATAGCATAGACACAGCCTAGACACAGCATAGACACAGCATACAGACACAGCATACACACAGGATACAGACACAGCATGCAGACACAGCATACAGACACAGCATGCAGACACAGCATACACACAGCATACAGACACAGCATGCAGACACAGCATACACACAGCATAGACACAGCATGCAGACACAGCATACACACAGCACAGACACAGCATAGACACAGCATACACACAGCATGCAGACACAGCATGCAGACACAGCATACACACAGCATAGACACAGCACAGACACAGCATACACACAGCATACAGACACAGCATGCAGACACAGCATACACATAGCATAGACACAGCACATACACAGCACAGACACAGCATAGACATAGCATGCAGACACAGCATGCAGACACAGCATACACACAGCATAGACACAGCACAGACATAGCATAGACACAGCATAGACACAGCATGCAGACACAGCATAGACAGCATAGACACAGCATGCAGACAGCATACACACAGCATACAGACATAGCATGCAGACACAGCATAGACACAGCATAAGCCACATCATAGACACAGCATACAGATACAGCATAGACACAGCATACAGACACAGCATGCAGACACAGCATACACACAGCATAGACGCAGCATGCAGACACAGCATAGACACAGCATAGACACAGCATACACACAGCATTCAGACACAGTATAAACACAGTATAGACACAGCATACAGACACAGCATGCAGACACAGCATACACACAGCATAGACACAGCACAGACACAGCATACAGACAGCATACACACAGCATAGACACAGCATAGACACAGCATGCAGATACAGCATAGACACAGCACAGACATAGCATAGACACAGCATAGACACAGCATACAGATACAGCATAGACACAGCATAGACACAGCATACAGACACAGCATGCAGACACAACATATACACATCATAGACACAGCACAGACACAGCACAGACATAGCATATACTAGCATAGACACAGCATAGACACAGCATGCAGACACAGCATAGACACAGCATGCAGACACAGCATAGACACAGCATCGACACAGCATGCAGACACAGCATGCAGACACAGCATAGACACAGCATAGACACAGCATGCAGGCACAGCATACACACAGCATAGACACAGCATGCAGACACAGCATAGACACAGCATAGACAGCATAGACACAGCACAGACACAGCATAGACACAGCATGTACACATCATGCACATAGCATAGACAAAGCATATACAGCATAGACACAGCATAGACAAAGCATAGACACAGCATGCACACAGCATGCACACAGCATAGACACAGCATAGACACAGCATGCAGGCACAGCATGCAGGCACAGGGTATAGACACAGCATAGACACAGCATTCACACAGCATAGACACAGCATACAGACAGCATACACACAGCATAGACACAGCATGCAGACACAGCATAGACACAGCATGCAGACACAGCATAGACACAGCATAGACACAGCATGCAGACACAGCACAGACACAGCATACACACAGCATACACACAGCATGCAGACACAGCGTACAGACATCATGCAGACACAGGGTTTTGACATAGGCAGGGCAGCTGTCGAACGAGCGGTCCACGTTGTTCAAGTGGCGAGCGAGAGGGAGTTTGTGTTGGGTGGACAGGAGGATCGCGTTTGGGGTGAGAAACCAAATCAATGGTACACAAATTTATTTTGGGTTAATTACACAATTCCTGAATTGATTGAACACACACGCACACACCCACACACACAGACACACGCACACACTCACACACGCGTGTAATTAATCACAATGCTGCATTAACCAGGCTGGGTTTATTCATCATCATCATCACGGAGTTGACGATGATGATAGAGGCTGCGTTTGTAACAAGAGTGGCATGGATGCGCTTGTGACGCTACAAATGCCACCACAAAGACAAAGATCCCCCGTGTAGCCTGTAACAGACTGTAGGGGCAAGTGCTGTTAGTGAGCAGCACCTATGAAGGCCGGCACGGCACACGAGGGGGTGGGTGGCCAGCACCACGCCCGACCGCCTTTGTCTCCCCAGTGGCAATGTTTACATACCGCAACAGGTACTAATTTGAGGCTGAGTCGACCTAGGGGAGGCCCAGGACCGGTTCAGATAATCGTCACCGGTGGTGTTGGCCGTGAGCGGGAATCGAACACGGTTTGCCAGGTTCGTAGCGCAGCGTAGCGCTAACCGCTACACTACCGCTCCCCACAGACACACACACACAGACACACACGACAGACAAACACACGCACAGCATAGACACACAGACACACACAGACAAACACACGCACAGACACACAGACAAACACACGCACAGACACACAGACACACACGCACAGACACACAGACACACCGACACACACAGACATGGACACAGACACACACGCACAGACACACACGCACAGACATACACGGACACACACAAGCACACAACAAAGATCCCCTGTATAGCCTTAACAAACTGTTGGGGCAAGTGCTGTTAGCGAGCACCTATGAAGGCCGGCACGGCACACGAGGGGGTGGGTGGCCAGCACCACGCCCGGCCACCTTTGTCTCCCCAGTGGCGATGTTTACACACCGCACCAGGTACTCATTTGAGGCTGAGTCGACCGAGGGGAGGCCCGGGACCGGTTCAGATAATCGTCATCGGTGTTGGCCGTGAACGGGAATCGAACCCAGGTTCGAAGCGCAGCGCATACACAGACACATGCATGCACACAGACACACACACAGACACACGCACACACACAGACACACACAGACACACGCACGCACACAGACACGCACACAACACACAGACACACACACAGACACACGCACAGACACACACACAGACACACGCACACATACACACATACAGACACACACACAGACACACACACAGACACACGCACAGACACACAGACACACACACAGACACACGCACACACAGACGCACACACAGACACACACACAGACACACGCACAGACACACAGACACACATACAGACACACCCACAGACACACGCACAGACACACGCACACAGACACACACACAGACACACACACACAGACACACGCACAGACACACACACACAACCGCGCGGGCGCTCAGAGCGAATGTGTAGCATGTGTGTCTGTGTGTGTGTGTCTGTGTGTGTGTGGCTGTGCGTGTGTCTGTGTGTCTGTGCGTGTGTCTGTGTGTCTGCGCGTGTGCGCGTGTCGCACGCCTCGTCCGCCCACCCATTCACTCAGTCAGAGCGGTCCGGCCTGGCCCCGCGTGCCACAAAGCCACCGGCTCCAGCGGAGCGAGGCGGAGAGGATTCACGCAGCGGTACAGAACAGCTGGCCCCGGCTGAACAAGACCAACAGCCGAACAAACAACAGCCGAACAAACAACAGGCGACGAACTGAAACAGCCGAAACGGCTGAACCGAACCCACGGCTGACCAACCAAACGGTCGTACGGATGAACATCCAAACAGCTGAACAGCCGAGCAACTGAACAGGTGAACGGCCGAACAGCTGAACAGGTGAGCAGATGAACAGCAGATCAACTGAACAGCTGGACAGGTGAGCAGATGAACAGCCGAGCAACTGAACAGCTGGACAGGTGAACAGATGAACAGCCGAGCGACTGAACAGCTGAGCAACTAAACAGGTGAACAGGTGAGCCATCAAACACACGCACACCACACAATCACACCACACAATCACACCACACTAACACACCATACAATCACACCACACAAACACATGCACACACACACACCATGCAATCACACGCACAATCACACCACAGAATCACACACACTACAAAATCACACACAAACAATCACACCACACAATCACACCACACAATCACACACAATCACACACACACGCACCACATAATCACACCACACAATCACACACACCACACAATCGCACACACAATCACACCACACAATCACACCACACACACGCAATCACACACACCACAAAATCACACACAATCACACCACACACACACCACATAATCACACACACCACAAAATCACACATAAAACACACCACACACACCACATAATCACACACACCACAAAATCACACACAAACACACCACACACACACACCACATAATCACACAAGTTGGGTGGGTCTGTGGAGGTCTTCCAGCCCCTGCTGCTGTTGTTGCATTTTTCAGGGCGGTTTTCGCCGTCTCCTCAAGCTCCACGCCGAGCTGGGCCGGTGGACGGTCAGTCAGAAGGACAGTCGGACGGACGGTCAGTCAGAAGGACAGTCGGACGGACAGTCGGAAGGTCGGCCAGACAGTCGGACGGTCAGTCGGAAGGTCGGCCGGACAGTCAGACAGTCGGACAGTCGGACGGACAGTCGGAAGGTCGGTCAGTCAGAAGGACAGTCGGGCGGTCAGTCAGAAAGTCAGCCGGACAGTCGGACGGTCAGTCAGAAGGACAGCCGGACGGACGGACGGTCAGTCGGAAGGTCGGCCGGACGTTCAGCCAGACGGTTAGCCAGGTCAGTCAGAAGGTCAGTCGTACCGTCAGTCGGAAGATCAGTCAGCAGGTCGGTCAGGTGAGTCCGACGGTCAGTCGGAAGATCAGTCAGCAGGTCGGTCAGGTCAGTCAGAAGGTCAGTCGGAAGATCAGTCAGCAGGTCGGTCAGGTCAGTCAGAAGGTCAGTCGGAAGATCAGTCAGCAGGTCGGTCAGGTCAGTCAGAAGGTCAGTCGGAAGATCAGTCAGCAGGTCGGTCAGGTGAGTCAGAAGGTCAGTCGGAAGATCAGTCAGCAGGTCGGTCAGGTGAGTCCGACGATCAGTCGGAGGGTCGAGCGCGCGGGTGCCATGGACAACTTCACGGCGGAGAGGTCCGGGGAGGACTTCACCAACGTCACCTTCTTCAGCAGCGCCGTGCTGGACGACTCCACCACCAACACCACCAGCAACTACACCACCAACACCACCACCAACACCACCACCACCATCACCATCGACTTCCTCAACTCCTCGTCGTCCTCGTGGCTGTGGGACTCCGTCCTGGAGAACATCACGGGCGGCGGTGGGGAGCTGGGGGCCACGCCCCCCACCGCGTCACCCTCGTCCGGTAGCAGCGACGGCAGCGGCGGCGGAGGAGCAGGAGCAGGAGGAGCAGGAGGAGGAGGAGGGTTGTCCACCATCGCCGCCGCCACCGCCACCACGGGCCCCACCGTGTCGCCCATCTGGGACTCGCCGCTCAACCCCATCATCAGCGTGTACGTGGCCGTGGTGCTGGCCTTCACCATGCTGGGCATGGGCTGCACGGTGGAGCTCGGCCAGTTGGGCCACCACCTCCGGAGGCCCGCGGGCGTCCTGATCGCGGCCCTGGCGCAGTTTGTGGTGATGCCCTTCGTGGCGTTCGCCATGGCCAACGCCTTCGCGCTGGGCGAGGCGGCCGCGGTGGCGGTGTTGGTGTGCGGCTGCTGCCCCGGCGGGACGCTGTCCAACATCATGTCGCTGTTCATCGACGGAGACATGAACCTCAGGTGGGGTGGTGGCGGTGGATGGGATGATTGTAAGGATGATTGAGGATGATGAGATGGTGAGATGGATGAGATGGTGGTGATGATGATATGGTGGTGGCGAGATGGGGTGGGATGATGATCCTGGAGACATGAACCTCAAGTGGGGTGGTGATGATGATGGTGGTGGTGATGATGATGATGGTGGTGGTGGTGAGATGATGAGATGATGAGATGAATGGGATGATGACAATATGATGATGATGGGATGGTGTGCGGCTGCTGCCCCTGCGGGACGCTGTCCAACACCATGTCGCTGTTCATCGACGGAGACATGAACCTCAGGTGGGGTGGTGGCGGTGGTGGTGGATGGAATGATGATTGTAAGGATGATTGAGGATGATGATATGGTGAGATGGATGAGATGGTGGTGATGATGATGTGGTGGTGGCGAGATGGGGTGGGATGATGATCCTGGAGACATGAACCTCAAGTGGGGTGGTGATGATGATGGTGGTGGTGATGATGATGATGGTGGTGGTGGTGAGATGATGAGATGAATGGGATGATGACAATATGATGATGATGATGATGGGATGGTGTGTGGCTGCTGCCCCGGCGGCACGCTGTCCAACATCATGTCGCTGTTCATCGACGGAGACATGAACCTCAGGTAGGGTGGTGGCGGTGGTGGCGATGGGGTGGATGGGATGATGATAATGAGATGATATAGGGTGGTGGTGATGAGATGGTATGATGGTGAGATGGGATGATGATGGTGAGATGGATGGGATGGTGGTGATGATGGAATGGTGATGGTCAGATGGGGTGGGATGATGATCCTGGAGAAATAAACCTCAGGTGGGGTGGTGGTGATGGTGGTGGTGATGGTGGTGGTGATGGGGTGGATGGGATGGGGAGATACGATGGGATGATGATGATATGCGATGATGATATGATGTTGCTTGTAAGATGATGAGATGGGATGATGATGTGTATGGGATGGTGAGATGATGATGATGGGATGGTGAGATGATGATGTGTATGGCATGGTGAGATGGGATGATGATGATGGTGGGGTGGTGAGATGGGATGATGTGTATGAGATGGTGATGCTGGAGACATGAACCTCGGGTGGGATGAGATGGGGGCGATGGGATGATGTATCTACGTATAACTTCTTTCGCACCGTACGTAGTCAACCATGCTAATCGCAGATACAGGGTGCAGTGTATAGTATAGTATATAATGTAGTGTATAGTGTAGTGTGTAGTGTATAGTAGTGTAGTATATAGTGTAGTGTATAGTGTAGTGTATAGTGCAGTGTATAGTGTAGTATATAATGTAGTGTATAGTGTAGTGTAGTGTATAGTGTAGTATATAATGTAGTGTTCAGTAGTGTATAGTGTAGTGTATAGTGCAGTGTGTAGTGTAGTATAGAATGTAGTATATAATGTAGTGTTCAGTCGTGTATACTAGTGAAGTATATATATTTAGAAATATAATAGTGCAGGTTAACTCCCTCGTGGGTTCGATCCCGACGCCCGCTGTATATTTGGAGTTTGCGTGTCTCTCTTTCTCCGTGGTGAGATGTTGACAACCTCGCCTGGTCTACAGGAGGTCGTGGGTTCAATGCCGACCCTGATGCCTGCTGTATATTTAGAGTTTGCGTGTCTCTCTCTCTCTCTCCGTGGTGAGATGTTGACTACCTCACCTGGTATACAGGAGGTCGTGGGTTCCAACCCGACCCTGACGCCTGCTGTATATTTGGAGTTTGCGTGTCTCTCTCTCCCCGTGGTGAGATGTTAACTACCTCGCCTGGTATACAGGAGGTCGTGGGTTCCAACCCGACCCTGACGCCTGCTGCTGTATATTTGTAGTTTGCGTGTCTCTCTCTCTCCGTGGTGAGATGTTAACTACCTCGCCAGGTCTACAGGAGGTCGTGGGTTCAATACCGACCATGACGCCTGCTGTATATTTGGAGTTTGCGTGTCTCTATCCGTGGTGAGATGTTAACTACCTCGCCTGGTATACAGGAGGTCGTGGATTCGATCACGACCCTGACGCCTGCTGTATATTTGGAGTTTGCGTGTCTCTCTCTCTCCGTGGTGAGATGTTAACTACCTCGCCTGGTCTACAGCAGGTCGTGGATTCGATCACGACCCTGACGCCTGCTGTATATTTGGAGTTTGCGTGTCTCTCTCTCTCCGTGGTGAGATGTTAACTACCTCGCCTGGTCTACAGGAGGTCGTGGGTTCGATCTCGACCCTGACACCTGCGTGGATTTTTCTCCGGGTCCTCCGGTTTTCCCCTCCCACATTTAGATTCAACGTCACGCATCCAGAGTGTTTGTCTGCTGCTATAAATGTCCACGTGGTGATGATGATGATGACGCTGAGCCACTTCGTTGAGCTATCATTTGTGATGGCCAGGTCACGTCTGACCAAAGAGCTACGCAGCACCTCAGTGGGGCCTTACTTGCTCAAATAAGCACGTGTGTATTCACGTGTTCATCTATGCTGTGTGAGTCTATGGTTATTGACAGACGTATTGACTTGTTGGGGGGGGGTAGGGGTGGGTGGCCAGCACCAACGATGACCATAACACTCTACATTTTTATTATTTACACGCTTTTATTTAACTCACTCTGTCTGTTGTTATATCCTCAAATCTTGTAACTCAATGTTAACCCACTTCCCAATGTGGTATCGACTGCCAACTTTGTATAGTTATGTCATACTGATGACAATACTATATTCTATCATTAAAAATAAAATAAAATATTTTTAAACATTATTTTTTATACGTTATGTTTCGGCTTGGGTCTAATTGTCCACGCTCAACTCACGTTGGCTGTAATTGCCCACGGCCCCCTTAAGTTGTGGCAAGCTTCGGGGCCACTTCCTGGAGTCGTGGAGTTCTTCCATTACTAGTACGGTACATTTCAATAAAGCTTGTTTTTTTAAATATTATATTACTTGTTTAAAGTGTACTTCACACTGAAGTATCTCAAAAGCGGCGAGCTTAAAACATAAAAGTCCACTCATCGATATCAATCTGAGCGAAATGGAAATGTGATAATCTGAACCGCTCTCGAAATCCCAATACAATTACGTTGCTAGAGGAGCGATGTTCACTACGCACCGCACCAGGTACTCATTTGAGGCTGAGTCGACCTAGGTGACGCCCAGGACCGGTTCAGATAATCGTCACTGGGTGTTGGTGGTGGCCGTGAGCGGGAATCGAACTCGGGTCGCCGGGTTCGTAGCGCGGCGTAGCGCTAACCGCTGCACCACCGCTCCCCACCACCTGACTGCTACCGTAGCAGCATCATCAGCAGCAACATCAAACAAAATAATCAGTGTCATCATCATCAGCAGCATCATCATCAGCAACATAAACATAATCATCAGCATCATCATCGTGATCATCGTCATCAGCATCATCAACATCATCATCAGCATCATCATCAACGTCATCATCAGGATCATCATCAACCTCATCATCGTCATCATCAACCTCATCATCGTCATCAACATCGTCATCAGGATCATCATTATCATCATCAACCTCATCATCGTCATCATCAACATCAACCTCATCATCATCAACCTCATCATCATCAACCTCATCATCGACATCATCAACATCGTCATCAACATCAGGATCATCAACATCAACATCGTCATCAACATCACCATCAACCTCATCATCGTCGTCAACATCGCGATCAGCATCATCATCATCAACCTCATCATCGACATCATCACTATCGTCGTCAACATCATCATCATCCTCATCATCGTTATCAACATCGTCATCAACATTGTCATCAACCTCATCATCGACATCGTCATCAACCTCATCATCGACATCGTCATCAACATCAGGATCATCAACATCGTCGTCAACATCAGGATCATCAACATCGTCGTCAACATCATCATCATCAACCTCATCATCGTCATCAACATCGTCATCAACCTCATCGTCATCAACATCGTCATCAACCTCATCATCAACATCAGGATCATCAACATCGTCATCAACATCGTCATCAACATCGTCATCAACCTCATCATCAACCTCATCATCGTCATCAACATCGTCATCAACTTCATCATCGTCATCAGGATCATCAGCATCATCAACATCAGTATCATCAGCATCATCAACATCAGTATCATCAACATCATCATCAGTATCATCAACATCATCAGCAGCGTCATCGTCGTCGTCATCAGTATCATCAACATCATCGTCATCAGCATCATCATCATCAGCATCAACATCATCATCATCAGCATCATCGTCGTCAGCATCATCATCAGCAACATCAGCATCATCGTCGTCAGCATCATCATCAGCATCATCATCATCAGCATCATCATCGTCATCATCATCAGCATCATCATCATGGTCGTCGTGATCTCCGCCAGGACCTCTCTCGCGTCGCGGGAGCGCCGATTTTTTTTTGAGAGCCGCGATGGAAATTCTGGCACGGAAGTCGCCAGAATTTAATAAACCGAGCAAGGGGAGCGGCACGCGTTGACACGGAGCCAGATAATCTCCATCAAGAGGGGGAGAGGGGGGATGGGAGGGAGAGACAAAGGCGGCCGGGCGTGGGTGCTGGCCACCCACCCATCCCTTCGTGCGCCCGTGCCGGCCTTCACAGGTGCTGCTACTCGCTAACAGCACTTGCCCCAACAGCCTGTTACAGGCTACACGGGGGATCTTTGTCTCTGTCTCGGTGAGGGGGGGGGGGTGGGAGCGGTGGCACGGCGGTTAGCGCTACGCTGCGTCATTAATCCGAAATAGACCTGGGTTCGATTCCCGCTCACGGCCAACACCACCGGTGACGATTATCTGAACCCTCTAGGTCGACTCAGCCTCCAATGAGTAGCTGGTGCGATGTGCAGTAAACATCGCCACTGGGGAGACAAAGGCGGCCGGGCGTGGTGCTGGCCACCCACCCCCTCGTGTGCCGTGCAGGCCTTCATAGGTGCTGCTACTCGCTAACAGCA